ATCGGTATGATATTGGCTATACTGATGCTTCAATACATGGATGACCAAGAATAATGGTTCTTATTGAGTTGATATATGATTGTTTCAATTAAATACATACCCCAAAGTCCCTTCTAGATTTCGTGGTAGAATTGTGTATTAGCGATTTGAATATCTCCGTGCTCAGTTAATGTGTCATCATGATCGTTGTATGATCAGCAGTATAATAGAAACAGCTGATAACCAATTTTGTAGTCACTTGAGGAAGTCTGCGCTCATAAGAACAGCAAGTGTATTCCACTCCCTTTGAATTCGCACTGCTTTATAGACAGCTTTTATGCCTCCTCTTAAGCCCTTGTTGCTTGCAGGCCATAATAGTTAATCATCATACCTTTTACTTGTTTGGTTCACATAGGAATTAATTTCCCATTAACGTTTTTTTTTTTTTTAATGGGTTACTTTCCTTGTGAAATTCCATGGAAATGATTTCCCTTGTTTGGTAGGCGCAGACATTTACATTGCTAAAAATTGACACTGGAATTATGACTTACCAAGGGGAGGGTGGGTAACAGGGTAAGCAATTACCGTGTCCCATTAGGGATTTGTTTGATCTCTTATTATCCTTTAAAAAAAGACTTCAAAGAAGTGTCAGAGAACAAAAAATCCAATGATGGGAGCTTCCTATCAAAAGTAGGAAGACATACGCCTATACAGAGCAATCTTGAAGCTCTCCTTTCATGTGTGTGCTCTTCTACCTTTCTCCGATTAGGAGTTTAATTAAGCTTATATTATCCTCTAAAAAATACTTCAAAGTGATGTTAGAGAACAAAGAATCCAACGATGGGAGTTTCCTATCAAAAGCGGGAAGACATATGCCTATACAAAGTAATCTCGAGGCTCTCCCCTCGTGTGTGCATTTCTATTTTTCTACCAAATAAAACGGCGACTAAGTTACTCGCATAATCATAATTTCTTTAGATGCAAAACAAAGATAAAAGTAGCATCCCTTTAATAGCATTGGATAAACTTAGCAAACCTAAAAAAGTTGGGAAATTCTCTGCCTTAATAGCTTGAGTTTTCAAGAATTCTAACAACTTTTGTTGGTATTGAATTGTGCTTAAATAGACCATTTTAGTACCAAAATACTTATTTATTAGTACCAACAAACGCAATAAACTTTGTTGGTACCGGAAGACTTCTTTGTTGGTATTGTGATGGTACCATTGAAGCACAACTTAAAATCAACGGACATTATTAGAGTCATTGAAATCTCAAGCTATTAGAGGCTAAGAAATCGTTAATGTTGGTGGAGTAGAGCTTTGCTGAACAATGTTGCTTAACAAAGGCTTTATGGAAAAAATAGGTTGGAAAATAATCTCGGATCCAAATGTTTATGGGTAAATGTCATAAGAGAAAACTCCTTAACATTTCATCCTTTTTTTTTATTAAAATTCCAAATCAAAAGATTTTTATATATGGTGGAGAATCCTAACTCAAAAGGAGAACTTAAGAAAGAGTTTTTGTTGGAAGTTAGGATGGAAAGGGTAATTTATTCTAGATTGATAACCACGGTACCAATAAAAATGCACTCAAATTACAACTAATTGACTCATGTAGTCATGTCTAACCAATTTAGATACTCGAGTCTCCAGGTTTATTCCTTCCAAGCAAGCTTTGGGACCAAAAAAAAAAAAAAAAAAAAACTCTCTCTTTTTGTAAATATAAACTATTATTGTAGCCCAGGTCATGAGTTCTCTTAGTCCAAAACAGGGTCGTCTTAGTGATTATGGGGCCCTGTTCTAAAATAAAATTGGGCCCTTAATAATTTAAAAATTATACTTGTACATATTTTAATCAGTCATCTATTACTTATTGTAGGTGTCGCTCGAAGTGCGCCTACGTGGAGCATACGTGAATAAGCTTGGCAATCATAGGAAGTTGGATTTGATATATAACGATAGGGACAAAAAGTAAGGAGCCGCCAACAAATTTTTAAGGAACTTGTAGATCGTTCATGGATCATTAAAGGCAACCACGAAAAGTGACAAAACAGAAGGCAACAACAATTTAATCTATGAAGGATACACCCCATTCACAATCCATGAGATTACTAACTCCATAGTGATCCTGAACCATTTCCGGATATTCAAGGATGATGGTATGAATTGAGTCATGAACCCAATGTCACCCGTATTGTCTTCTACTCGATTCTTATAGCGACATATATTAATTGCAACCCAAAAGACATACAAACAAGATTCAATTCGCTCCAAACTAATTAACCTAAGTCAGTTGATCTGAATATTTAATGCACACATAAATCTAATTATTGTGATCACTTGAATTTAGCAACAAGATTAATAAGAACCTACACCAGTTGTCCAAATTATCTTATTAGGCGTGATCTTCAATTACATATTCATTCCCAATTAAACATGCAATATAGGTGATCAAAATAATAATACGGAGTATAATCAAATATATTAAATAACCATGCATAAAAATATTGGAAGCAACTAGATAATAATTAGATAACGAATTAAAATCATCCTAAACATGATACTAACTAATTATTAATAAAATCCTAGGCATTATACTAACAAGAATATTATAACCCCTAAACATGATACTAATAATTAAAAATAAGAATGCTAAGCATGATGCTAGCAATAACAAATATTGTATAATTTATTTAACAAAGGAATAATTAAATCTACTTACTTTGATTGCGAAACCTTGCAACTACAACATGAATAAACTGTTAGTAACCTTCAATAAAATATATAAATCGAAAGAATTAAATTAACATAAATAAAACAAATTAAACAAGGTTTATGATCAACCTTTCACGCCGTGGACCGTCGGTAGAGTTTTGGGTGAAGTATTGATGTCTAAGAGCACTTGAAGGAGGAATTTTGAAAGATTAGAAGTATGGGAGATTAAAAAAATCAAAGTATTAAGGAGAATATGATCACAAAAACAATGCCCGTAACCCACGAAAGGCCACGACATTTATAGAAAAAGAACGGGAAAAAAGATAAAAAAAAAAAAAAAAAAAATTGCATCGTCTAAATCAGAAAAACCATCGCACCAGGTCAGTTTCTATTGCGTGACGACATAGAAACGTCGCTGAGCGACAAGATCTGGCATCACGCGACAAAACTGTCGCCACGCGCTAGATTAGAATCCTTGTTTTATTTAAATCAGTCATTTACACGTTCTGATTATGAAAATTTATTTGTTTAAAACGGATTTTGAACGCGTTTAAGATTTTTAGAAGTTAGTTTCAAGTTCAAATTGCTTTGTGGATTGACGATTTTTAGAAATTGTTTTGGAAAATAAAAATAAGGATTAAAATAAATGGATTGGGCTTAAGATTAAAATAAACACGGGCTAGAAAATTTAAATTAAATGGATTTAGATATAAAATCAAGTACTCCTTTATTTCAATACTAAAGCCGAACCAAATGGCAATGAAAGATTTTTCCTCATCATCGGATTTTGGTCGGGGAGACATTGTTAGGTGTCTACACTTACATCACATTAATATTATTTGCAATAAACACGTCAATACGTCACCAATAACACCAACATTAACATTATATTAGTATCTTTAACATTATTATTTACATTAGACACATCACTAACAGGTTCAACCTTCACACACACACACACACACACACACACACACAAAATTGCATATTTACTTTTTTCGGGAAATTCTACATGGTGGCCTCATGAATTTAGCTTTTCTACGTTGAAGACGAACTTTTTTCCAACTCTCTTAAGTGGCACCAAGGTTTAGAAAAATTAACCATAGTGCTCTTTTTTAGGTTTATGACCAACTTTTTTTAGTTAAAATGGTTACCTTTGAGTTTTTTGTATTAAAAAATTATTTAAATTATATTTTAAAATAATAAAATAAAAAAAAAAAAAAACAAAAAAATTCCCAGCCACCCCACAAACCCTAACTTTGCCGGAATCCGGCCAACCACCAACTCTCGACCACCACCGACAAGTTGCGAAACCACCACTGGCAAGTAGCGAAACCAGCACCACCAATGACCTCCTTAAACCGCCGCCATCACCCACGAAAACCCACTCCCACAAACTTTGAAATCGCCACCATTCTTACCGCCTAACTCGAAACCACCACCGCCTAACTCGAAAAATCGACTCACACAAACCCAGATGCACCACCGCCCACTTGCGAACTCAAATCTGATGACACAGACGAACGACGATGAAGATTTTGATTTGCTGAGCCGATTTTGATTAGGTGGAATTGGTGGGGTTTGGGTGGTGGTACAGGCTTTCGGTGGGATGGTTCGATTTGGTGCATGCATTGTGGTTGTTTGAATTGGTGGGGTTTCATTGTTAGAGAAGATGGTGTTGGTTGTGGTGAGTTTTGGGATGGTTGACTAGAGGGCGAAGGTGAGTCGTAGGTGGTGGTTTCACTTGGAGGTCGGGAGTTGGCTGGGAGGTGGTTTCGGTGGTCGAGGGTTGGCTGGGAGGTGGTTTCGGTGGTCGGGAGTTGGTGACTGGCCGAATTCCGGCAAGGTTAGGGTTTGTGGGGTGGCTGGGAATTTTTGGAATTTTTTTTTCTTTTTTTTTTTACTTTTTTTTTTTATTTTTTTTTTAATTTTATTATTTTAAAATATAATTTAAATAATTTTTTAATAAAAAAAATCAAAGGTTAACCATTTTAACTAAAAGTCATAAACCTAAAAAAGGGCACTATGATTAATTTTTCTAAACCTTGGTGCCACATAAGAGAGTTGGAAAAAAGTTCGAGCTGAATTTATGAGGTCACCGTGTAGAATTTTCCATCTTTTCTCCATGAAATTTAAAAACTTATATATAGTATATTTAGAAAAACAAAAAAAAAAAATAAAGAAATTAATTGACATTGTTAAACAAGAAAATTACTTTACCATAAATCAAACAAAGGATGAGCAAAGCAAGCACTGTCTACAAAATGATCAAAGTCACTCAAATTAGCAATTCACAAAGGAATTTGAGTACATGACAATATGAGTTTTGTATTATATATATATAGAACTGAGATTATGTGAGAATTAAGGTGAATGATGAGAACTAAGAACTAATCTGAACCCTTGATTCATTTGATCCAACGGCTGAGATGTTGTCCGCGTTTTTAACTTAGTAATGACATTTTGGTAAATTATTGAATTATACCCAAACATATCCACCGTTCTGATTCACTTTCTCTCTCTTCTTCATGCTTTCTCTCTCTTCCTCCAAATTCTCTGTGATCTAAGGCGATTTTCTTGGGTTCGCTCACGATTTCTTCGCTTTTGTTCATCAAATTCTAGCGTGTTTCTGTTAAGGTACGCAAATTTCGATCTATTAGTATGTTGATTGCTCGCTTCAGTTTAAGTTTGCTCGATTTGGTTTCGATTAATTCGAGTTTGAATTTAGGGTTTTTGCTATTTTTAATTTCATTTGATTAATTAGTGTTTTTGCATTTTATAATCAGATTAAATAGTCGAAATTTGGGGGTTTTTTGCTAGTTTTTGTTTGATTTATTTGTGAATTTTGATTGTTGCATGTGCTGTAATTGCAATTTTTTGTTGTGTTCTTTCATGATTTACTGCCCAGATTATAAAATTCAATTTTAGTAACTAGGAATTCGATTGGAATTATTGTATCTCTGGTTAATTTATTTCTTATTTGCTTTAATCTATTGCACACTAAGCGTTTGATGAAATGTCTGACTAGCTTAATGGAATGAATGTTATGCTATGTTGCTAGCTTAGGTGTGATAATCAACATTACAATTAATTTGAACAACTGTGATTAGCCTAGTTGTTTGCCCAAATTGTAACTAGTTTTGCATAGTTGTTTTGGTATTGTTTTTAAGATATTTTGATTTACTTTTGAATTTTTTCTATTTACTTTTGAATTCGCCTAACATTCACAGGGCATGAATTGTGAGTTGTTGAGCCTAGATTAATACATCTATACTGCTAGGCATCCTAGACAAGGGTGTGTGTAGTTTTGTGGCTGTTTGAGCTTGGCATTACGAGGGTGTGTGTAGTTATGTGGTTGTATGGGCTGGGCATCCTTGCAAGGGTATGTATAATTGTGTGGCTAACTAGACGGGGCTTTCATTCATACCAAAAAGAATAGTATATTACAATTAGATGTTATGTGTCCTGGACTCTTTTAGTTTTCTGTGCATATGCTACGGTAATAAAAATGACAATGGGAAGAGAAAGACTAGTGGAAGAAAAAAAAAACAGAGAGAGAGTACACTATTCTGCCTCCTTTTAATTCCACTGAGAACTATTACCTGGTAGCTGAAATTCCATTCCAGTGATTGCACTACACTCAATACAAATGCCTGCACCACCAGTGGTACTCCTTAAAGTGCAATTTGCTCTGTAACCTTGAATTTCTCAAGATATAGTAGTCTTCATTCTATTAAGAAGGTTTAACTGGATCAGGAAGAATTAGTTGATGGATATACATGGTTTCAAATCTAGCACCATTTGTCATTCTATTTTATATATATTAGCTTTTAGTTTTAGTTTTTTTATTTTTATAATTAGTTTGGAATACTTTGAATGGCCTTGAATTCCTTGATTGCTTGTGTGTGATGAGGATGATGGTGATGAGGCAAAATTAGATGATAGTGTGGACTATTATTGACGTTCCACTGTCTGCAAGCTTCCAAACTCCACCAGTTGTTTCCGGGGAGTTGAAGCAGCATTCCTAGTGTCATTAGAATAAACAGAATAAGTGCAAGTAGTACAACCAGCACCAGTCCCTAATCTGCCATTTTTCTTCTATGCCTCGGTAATTTCCCTGTTATATTAGTTGTGTGGCTGTTTGGGTGTGTGTGTGTAGTGAGCGGTGTGAGGCTGGGAGGCTGTGAGCACATGAAAACACATATGGATAGGACTCTCCTAAATTAAGGAAACAAATGCTACCTTTAAATGCTTTTTTTATTTACTTTTGAGTATTTTTTTCTTACTTTTTGAGTTTTTTTATTTACTTTTGAGTTATTTAGCTTTACTTTGAATGGATAAACAAATAATCAAGGTTATAAGTTTTGAATTTCTTTCTGGTGGATTAGTATCGTATGTATGTAGGTCTATTAGTCTAGCTATTTGAGTTATTTGAAATGATCCAAAGTTCTAAACCCCTCGTGATGATTGTACTACGTATACTGTATAAATGTTTTGATTTACTTCTGATGTTTTTCCATTTACTTTTGAGGTTTTTTTTTTAAAAAAAAAAATGTATGAAATAAACACTAGCCTACTAGCTCAACCGGTAGAGCATTGTGCAATTGCACAAAAGATGTGGGTTCAAATCCCACATAGGTTCATTTGTGTAATCTACATATTAGACTTCGCATTAAAGTTTAATTTATTTGTATAACTAGATTTCTTTTTTTCTTTTGTTTACTTTCGATATAGTTTTATTTACTTTAAATTTGAAAACCTCTACATTGAACTCAATATATTTGTTTCTTATAACTTGACTCATCTTGTAAGGCTATGAAAATCAATGACTCGGTGTTTTTGTGATATAACAAGGTTTCCGTAGTCATTTATCATTTCAAGCTAAATTATTATTCGTATACTTTAGAGCTAATGTGATTTACTTTTTAGTTCTTTTTTTATTTACTTTTAAGCTATTTTGAATAACTTTATAGTGTTTTTATATGCAGTTCTAGAGAACCTATGAATCGAACCTACACCTCTATGCATCCGCATCGTGCTTTACCACTTGAGCTAAAAGGTTTACTTTAAAGACCTTTTTATTCACTTTTTATTCTTTTTTATGTACTTTTAGAGACAACGGATGTATTTCTCGTCTTGTTTTTTTTTTTTTTTTTTCTGTTGACAGAACACAGTAGCAGATTTTATTAAGGAATGCTAGCAGAATCTAGCATAACAACATCTATTACACAAGGAGGAGCCTCCTCAATCCATACTCTCTACTAGCATGAGTAAATTTAAACTATACACCCACTGCGAGAAGGCAGCCCTCAGCATCGTGCAATACATCAGTACAACACCAAGCCCCACACCACACCTGGAAACATAGCAGCATTAGTGTTGACTCTAACATTGCACAAACCCGGCTTCACCCAGCAATTACGAGAAGGGAATCTCTACCCACAAGCCTTACTCCCCACTGCCCCCTTATACTCCTTACTGCCCCTTTATACATCTTGTAACTATCTTTGAGCTATGTGCTGATCTGACATGCTGTCATGCTTAAGCAGTCAGTGGCATTGAAATCTACACAGCTTCTATTTTGAGCTACTAGAGCATCACACTTCACACTACATGCTTAGTATGAGCAATATAATTTTTCCTTAAACATAACCTGCCCATGTACCACAAATGGCTACACTTGCACAATCAACAACACAACCATCAACTACCCCTGTCAGAGCTACATTCAGTGGACTCTAATTATGATCTTGTTGTGAATTGAACCTTTTAAAATCAATGCACTAGAACATAAGTTGCATATCCATCTTCAAAAAAACTACATTTGTACTGCTGTCATATTGCCGATATTGACATATTTTGATTACCTTTTAGTTACTTATATTTACTTTTGTGGTAATTTGAATAACTTTAAGATGTGTTATATTTACTTTTAGAGATAACCTATATAGGATTCGAACCTACACCTCTATGCATTTGCATAGTGCTCTACCACTTGAGCTAATAGGTTTATAAGTCTTTTTTCACTTTAGATTCTTTTTAGCACCTGAGAAAACATTTCTTGAAAGAGAAAAGATCTGCAACATTGAATCATTCATGCAGAAGCGCCCTTGAATATCACCATCAAAGTGATTATCCAAGAGGACAAGATCCTCATGGTTCTTTAATTTTCAAGTTAAGAGCTTGAGAGATCCTGAGTGGTTATTTCTTGATAAGTTTAGCTTTTGCAGAAGACTTAACTTATGAGGGGATGGCACCACTTAATCTATTTTCGAGCAGATTCAAGTAATTCAATTCTTGCAAACTTCCCAACTCTGTAGGAAGAGTACCAGAAAAAATATTGCTGGCAAAAACTGATGCAGGTACATCTCCTTAGAGCATATTGTTGGAGGTTGCAAAAAATAGTTGGCTTTTCACATTCACTAATAATCTCTCTTGGAATTGGACTCGTAAGAGCGCTCTGTTGCAAATAAAGAGACTCCTATTTCTTTAGCTTATCTATCTCAAATGGGACACTTCCATTCAACGACCAATAATCAATGCCTAAGAACTTTTCAGTTCAATCAAGTTGCCAATACATTTGGGGACATCCCCACCAAGCAAGTTGTCCCCTATTATAAGAACCTCCTATTTAGGTAGAAAATCGAGCTCATGAGGAATCTTGCCAGAGACAAGTAATGTATAAGTAGAGCCATCTTATATTATTCTTAGTTATATATCCAAGCTCACTAGGAATAGGGCCAAAGAGAATTATGTTTTCTAAAGAAAAGTCCTGACATCCCCCTCTATAGAAGCATTAAGATAACATCCCACTCTCTTCCAAGAAATTATTTTACTTTTAAAGTGATTTAATTTACATTTAAATAATTTTAGTTTACTTTTAATGCATTTTAATCACCAAAATTATACAAGTAGCATTCAAAAAAATGAAAAGAGGAAACAATAGAAGAAAATTGTTTTGTTTAAAGAGAAAATTTCTGACAATTGGCCACAATGTTACATCCATCCATTTGAGCTGCCAACTCAACCACAATCAATTAATGTTGATTACAGGAAAAAAAATCAAATTAGGCAAAACTAACTTCACTCATCTTAGATTCTAGCTCCTGAAGTGTTGGCTCAATGAATTCCCAACCATCTACACTCCCTCTAATTTTGATTGCTCATATATATTATAAATCATAAGTTTAGTCTTTCAATTTACTTTTACTTGGTTTCTTTCTACATTTGAAATTGATTAAATAATAGAATTCATTGAAGCATTTTGTCAAACAGTTAGTGTGCATTCAAAAAGTTGTCATCAAAACATACAACACCATGGATGACATAACAACAATTAGTAGGTAATCCGAAATTTCACTATTAAGAACCCTAAATTGACCACACTAACAACAAAATTCACGATAAAACACATACAAATAATGTTATTGAAACTCATTGAATTTTAAAAAAAAAAATAGAAAAAAAAAAAAAAAAACATCTTACTGCTTCAATGGAGTACAAAGAGCATGGAAGCTGCTTTAATGGAGAAGAGAATGCTCGAAGACTGCTCTAATGGAGAACTCAAAGCACTAGCATCAATGGAGGAGAGAGATTGATCGGAGGAGAGAGACAGTGTAGAGCTAATCGCACGCATGATTCAGAATTCTAAATATCTGATCCGTCTGTTTCCTTTTAATCTGACGGCTGTGATGAGTTCCTAGTTTCTATTATTGGACTAGTTCTCATTATAACTTGGTCATATATATATTTCCTATATATATATATACAATGAAGATATAAACGTTTCTTTCAAGCTTGTTTTTATCCCTACCTTTTCTAAAGTATCACTCAACTCTTATGAATAGTGTTGAGGCTAATATATCTCTCAAAAAGTTAGTTTATGTATTTACCCTTATATCTTTGCTTTTACATTTTTAATAAGTATGATGTAATAGTTAAGGAAGGCCTAAAGACTTGGTTTAATATCTTGATAAAATTAGCATTTAAGTTGCTTGTGTTAATTTGTTTGCTTTTTAAGAAAATTGTAATAGTAGCGCTTGATTATGTAAGCTAGGGTGAACAACCCTTTTGTATACCAAGAGGTAATTCAGACGCTTTTGTATATACTACATATGAACCTTTAAATTTTTTATAATTTCTTGCATAAAGTTTTTATATATCCTTCCATTTGAATTACCTGATTGTATACTATAATTAAATATTTAACCATAACTATGTTTTGTTCTATACTAAAGCCAATTAATTTGTTTAGTTAGATCTCTCAATCAACCTTGACCATATGATAATATATTAGTAAAAGTAATTATACAAATAAAAGTACGAGAGAATGGTGTCATGGTGAAGATTTTTTTTTTAATTTTTTTTTTTATCATTGGTGGGATAAAAATATGATCATTAAAATGCTCATGAGCAAGAGGAGTGAGAAAGTGAGTAGAGAGAGAATAAGAAAGTGTTTTTTTTATCATTGTTGGCAATGCTCTTTAGTATGTATTAAAAGTCTACCTAACAAGCTTCCAGTATTAAGGCAGGCTTTTACAATTCGACCATAACAACAAAATATTTGTGTGCAACGCGCGCATAGACCCCCTAGTTTTAGTAATTTTGAAAATACAGAGTATTAATTTGAATTGATGGAAGAATATAAAATTGAAGAAATTAATACGGAATCTTGATTAAGGGACATGAAAATGCGCATGTGAATTGGAGAATTGCTAAGACTTAAATAAATTCTGGGAATAAATCTTTAAAACTAAAGAACAATAAGCTATTATAAAAAAAAATATTAAACAGAAAATAGCTTTTATAAAAAAATATTAATAAAAAAAAAAATTGAAACTTGTCCCTTATAAAATTAGGGACCCTATGCAAGAGGGCTTCTTGCACACCCCCTTCTACGGCTCTAGTCCAAAATACATTATATCAAATACTATAGATTAGGTCTAACTACATCCGGTAATTTATTTTTTCCAATATGTAATTTACGTAGTGTGACCATTTATCATCTTTTCTTGTACTTCCTCCGTTTCAATAATATTGCAACAATGGACTTTTTGTATTATTCACCACTCTTGTTTGACCATATAATATGATTTATACGTTAAGCAAAATATAGTCATGTGGAATCTTGTCAGATTTGTCTCATTAAATATTTTCACAATATCAACTTTTTATAATTTTTACTCTTATAGAATTATAGATATTTAACATATAAAATGTGCTTTAAAATGCGTAATTTCATCCTTGTTGCAATATTATTGGAACGGAGAAAGTATTGTTTTAAAATTAGAGACGTTTGGAACTAACCTGCATTAAAAGTTGGATAATTGCACTATTCCTCACTCTAACATGCTTACATGTTATAAGTCTTACTCAAACATTTAAAGTTTTAAACATTAAAAGTAGATAATTTTTATTTAAAAAATATAGATAATTCAATTTCTTAATTTTGATTATTTGGAAAAATAAAAATAGAATAAAAAACAAACAAACTTCTTTAATATCTCAAACTGATTCTCTTACACTTTGTTTGGATTGAAGGAAATGGAGGGAAAAGAAGGAAAGGGAAATGGAGGGATGGATTATCTTTTATTTGGATAACAAATAAGAAAGGAAGGAAATTGGAAGGGAGAGAAATGAAAGGATTAAATTGTAAGAATTAATCTCTCCAACAGTGGAAATATTTGGAAGGAAAACTAATCTTTTTAAAATTGTAGACTTGGTTTGACAATTATGCCCATTTCTAAAATTGTAGTCAAAGTGAATGTGGAGCCGTACTGGGTCGCCGGGGGAGACCGGAGGGCAGGCCAGAGTTGCGAGGGACGCCGGAGGTACGTCGTCGTCGACGGAAAACGAGGTAAAGTACCACTAAAATTCACGTTGTACGTAACGGCGTCTAAAAGAGGTGCCTGTGTAGTGGAGCCGACGCCTAAATTGGACGCCACTACCGTTGCATGGACGTCCAAGCCAGATGCCACAGCCACGGCACCTGCGTCCATCCCAGACGCTAGAACCACCACACAGGCGTCCTGGCTAGGCGCAAGTCCTATGGATGTGGCGGCCCTGCCAGACGCCATCTCCATGGCTCTGGCGTTCCTGCCAGACGCCGCCCCCGCAATGTAATTTTTTTTTTGTTTTTTTTTTAAATTTGAAAATTTGAAATTGTATTAAAAAAAAATCCGAAATGGTTTTAAATTTGAAAATTCGAAATGGTTTTTTTTTAAATTAAGTTTGAAAATTCGAAATGGTTTTTTTTAAATTAAGTTTGAAAATTCGAAATGGTTTTAAATTTGAAAATTTGAAATGGATTTAAATTTGAAAATTCGAAATGGTTTTAAATTTGAAAATTCGAAATGGTTTTAAATTTGAAATGGCGAAATTGTATAAAAATAAAATTCGAAATGGTTTGAAAATTTGAAAATTCGAAATGGTTTTAAATTAAGTTTTTTTAAAACAAAAATTAAATTTGAAAATTCGAAATGATTTTTTTATTTTATATATTTTTTTTTTTAAATTTGAAAATTCAAAATGGTTTTTTTTTTTTAAATTAAGTTTAATAATTTTATGTTTTTATTTATGATGTGGAAATTAGATTTGTGTTAATATATATTATTATGTTTTAATTGTTTATGTGTATGAATACTTTTATAAATGATTGTGTTTTAAATTTGTATGTGTATGAATAATATTATACATAATTATGTTTTTAATTTTGTGTTAATTCTGTGTAAATATAGAAAGTAAATGTATTATCCGTTAAATGTAGAAATGAAATTTACAAATTAAAAATGTAGATATTAATTATGTGTTAATGTTGTGTTAAATGTATTAATTTAAGCTTGAATTAATATTTATT